GAACTTTTGAAAGCTTCAGATTCCCAGGCTCCACTCCAATTCCCCTGAAAAATAAAATGTAAGTTTTCAACCCAGGAATCTGTATAGAAAAAACTATTGCCAGATGACTCAGATGTGCCAAGTCTAACAGAGTGGCAAACTACTACTTATCAACCACTAATAAAAGATCCATTCCAAATCGTTGGATCTGTAACTCTGCAAAATCAAGTGGTTAAGCATAAAAATGGCTGTATGCCCTTGGATACCTAAGCTAATTTTATCTTTGTTTATGTGTGCATGTATTAACTGTGTGTGCAATAGCCATGTTTTCCATATTTTTCTCCCATGAATGAAATTTTGTGCACGTACTATACCACAATGCAGATTTATGTATGCATCAGACTCCTGACTTATATGGACTGGATGAATCACACTACCTGTTAGAGTATAAAAGAGCAAACATTAGTAAAATTGATAATACGCCTTGTGGTGGTGACTCAACCAAAGCAAGCACATCTGTCACAGAGGAGCGGCCTGCCAGCTTTTCACCAGGGGAAATGCAATTGAATAATAATGCATCATACATAAAGCAACTTCAGGAAAGCTCTCTGCCAAGTTAAATCCCCTTAAGTTGGAATTGTGTGCATATACTGGGCAAATGTACAGTCACATAATATAAGCAGGCCAAAAATTTGTACTCAGAATATAACTCAGATCTTAAATTCATAGACTCATCCAACAAGTGTCAGGCTTAGTACCAAGAACTGAGGATACAATGTTGAGTACAACAGACTTAGTCCCAGTACTTTCTGTCTTTCAATTAGAGTGGTGAAAACATAGTGTACTATATTTGGAAGTAACAGTTAAAGCTAGTATGGCCCCTGATGGCCTCTCTGTGATGATACCTTCTGAACTGTGCAAGTCGCTCAATGAAGAAAAAGAGTGTCTTGGAATGAACACCCCAAATAAAGGGCACAGCAAGTACAAAGTTCCTGAGGTTGAAGAGTGCTTGGTATGTTTGAGAAATGCAAATAGACAATATAATAGTAACTGGAGAAGAGGAAACCTGGGAGCAGAGAGTAGTAGCAGATAAAACCAAAGAGATAGTCAGAAGCTAGATCTCAGAGGCTTTATAGGTTGAGGTACTGTGCCCATTGAAATATGTATCAATGTATCATTGTGGTAAGCACAGATTCTTTAGAATGGAAAGTAAAAGATCTCAGTTAGCATTTTGAAAATCTTTTCTGATAAATTCATAGACTCTTCTCATCAGAATACAGAGGTTAGTTCATCGCTTTGGATCCCTTTAATCTCGCACTCGCAATTTTTCACTGGGTAAGTATTCATTCATTTATTCATTCATTAATTAAATCACTCATTATTTATAACACTCCCACTATTTGCTGAACATTGTGCTAGTCCCTGGGAACAAATTAGTGTTATAAGCTTCCTTATAACACTAAAGTTCCCCAAGGCATTGATAATTCAATAGAAAATACAAATATACTCATAGGAAATAAAGTGAAGAGTGACAAGAGCTATATGCACAAAAATATTCAGAAATTACATGTGCCTATATATCTCTCCAGTCCACACTCATAGGTGCCCTGGTGTAGGCAACTCTGAGATAGAATTCTGTGATCTACAAAGGTGGTAGAGCCGGTGAATTCAAAGCAAAGCTTTCTTTGCCAAGCCTGGAGAAATTAGCAATAAAAACAGGAAAACATTATTTTGTTGTTTTCAACTAAACTCTATAACTGGAATAATATTACCTTTAATGAGGCTGGGGAACTTCCTCTGAGGAGTCTAAAGCCCTTTACTGATGCTATTCCATTAATTCTCCTTGTGTCTGGAACTTGGCACCTGAAGCACAATGCATTATGCAAAACCAAAGCACACTTTGCATAGAGAAAGGATTTTGTTTCAATGTTTCCCTTGTGCTAAACTTAAAAATGCCAGCAGAGCTCCCACCAGAACATGTTCCTATATCCAAGTTATTGATGTTAAAAACATCCTAAATGGTATCTATCTTGTACACACACATATATATATGTGTGTGGGTGTGTGTGTGTGTATTTACATGCATGTAGTCTTTGTCAGCTTCATGCTGCTATAACAGAATATGTGAGTCTGGGTAGTTTATTAAGAACAGAAACTTTTCTCTTAAAGCTCTGGAGGCTGGGAAGTCCAAGGTCAACGGCGCTCACATCTGGTGAGAGTCTTTTTGCTGCACCATCCCATGGTGGAAGGCAGAAGGGCAAGAGAGCATGGATGAGAAAGAGAAAGAAGGAAATTGCAAATTATAAAATGTATCCTTTTATAAGAAACACACTTTGGTAAATGCTAACCCACGCTCATACAAATGATATTAGCCCATTAAAAAAGGCAGAGCCCTCATTACCTAACAACATCTTAGAGGTCACACATCTCAACACTGTTGCATTGGGATTGAGTTTCCCCAAACTTTGGGGGATACATACAAACCACTATATAAAAATATATATATATATATGAAAGGGAGAGATGAGTTTGAGTTCGTTACACAAGAGCAAAAGTGTATCTCAAATTCTTTATTAGATTTAAAGATAGGATAGGTAGATAGATAGGAAGCATCTAATTCAATAGCACTGTTTACGAAAACTTTTTGTAAAGTTCGATGAGAATTGTATGTGTTAAAATGCTTGATAGATAAATGCATGCACAAGTAAATTTGATACAACAAGGTACCCAGTCTAGTCCTAGACATTTTGAAAAAGGATAAGGAGATCAAGACAAGTTCTGTGTTTCAGGCTGGGAGAAATAACTGCCTTACGTAAAGCGGTTAATTTACAACGCAAAACTAGAGCAAATGCCAGATTAGGCTGTTTAGCCTGTAAGTGCTTCTTGGAGTTCAAAGAAGAAAGAGATCAATGTTGACTGGAAGGATAAGAAAATCTTTATGATGAGCAATAGATCTGAACTGATCTTTGAAGGTGAGGGAGGATTCAGAAAGGTGAATTTGCAATACAGTTCCAGGGATGGAGAGGTTGCCTATAATGCAAATATTCCTAAATCTAAGAGCAACCTGAAGTCTGCTTCAAGTTTCTCCAAGGGTGAATGGGGTAGACTTCATACCATACAATTTCTGGGCCCAGGATTCTTCTTGTAGTTCTAAGCATTTACTGGTGGGTGGTGGAGTTTAAATGATTCTATGAGCTTCTTGTTCTCTTTCAATTTAAACCTTTTTTCTATACTTTTTCTTTATCAGCTCTGAATACTCTGTGGCCCCCAGCTGGTCACACTGACTTCCCCGCTTCTGCCATCATCCTTATGGCCTCTCTCCTCTTTCAACTTTGTTCCTCTTTTGTCTTGATTTAGTTTTAGTCAATGCATAAACCTGATCTCCAGTGCTTCACTGGCCAAACATTTGTAACCCAATGCCTTTGAGGGTGACCTACTTACTTTTCCTGAAAGTTTAGGGATAACAAAGCTGAAAGGAAACACCAAGAAAGAGCTACTTAAAACTGAACCTCGGAAATTGGTACAACTGGAATTAATGAACAATTCATTCTCCATCCTCTCCCTGGGAACCTCTTACTAGTTTCTGGCTCCATGACCCCTAGTCTGTGACCTGTTTTTAAGGCCTTCGCCACACGACCTGGAGCTACCTGGGGTTGTAGCTCAGGGTCATCACTTTCTAGTTGTGAGACTTCGAGCAAGTTACATCTGGAAAATGGAGATAATACCTACCCCAAAGGGTTATGCTAAAGAGTGAATTGAGTTCATATAGGTAAAAGAGTGTCAGGAACATTTTCAAAAGTAACAGAAGGCTATGAGCTATTAACATTGTTATCACTCTCACCAAACTTCTGGGTTTTCCAAGAAACCTAGAGGAACAAAAACTCCCTGTTATTTTCACACTCCAAGGAATTTTACTTCCAGAGTTTCAGTCTCTCCCAGAGAGGTGAAACAAATCCCTCCCTTTTATAACCTTTCATAAGGTCCATTTAAGAATTTTCAAAAGGAAACACGTTTATCCCTAGAAGAAATCTTCCTTAAGTGCTTTTTTTTTCCTTACCAGAGTTGCATGCATAGAGTCATATAATCCTAAAAAATAAGAGATCTCAAATGATCCTTAGAGACTCGTAGAAATCAGCTACCTCATTTCACAGATGAGAAAACTGAGGCCCAGAAAGATGAATGAAATTTTTCAAGGTCATCCAAATAACTAGTAGCAAAGACAGAACTAAACATCGAATTTCTTCCCCCTTCCTCCCAATGTATATCTCTTTCTGGCTCTGTGCCCTTGCTATCTCCTTTCCTCAAGGTGATCTCCTTTCCTACTTGTTTTGAAACCAAAGCATGCTATATTCAGATCATGAGTGTTCAATGTTTTAAATTAATCTTTTAAAACATTTTGGAAGACCACTGACCAAGTGCCTTAGTGTGTTCCCCTCAGCTTGGCTAATTTTAGATAGATTTGTTCCTGATGATAGGCCCCTGACCTCACTTTTCTTATAAAACGTTTAAGTTAGAAAACTTCTCATTGTAATTTTTTTCTCTGCGCCTTTGAAATGTAAACTTTTTCAGCCTCTTGTAATTTTATAACCTAGCAATGTCTTTCTCCAGGACTTGGAGACATGTAACCAAGACATGTAACCAAGGAAGACAGTCCCCCTATCTCCCCATCTTGGTGGGATGGTAGGAGCCTAACTTAAAAGGGGAAAATTAGCAACTACAGATGGCCTGATCACCTTGACCACTAATCTCCAGTAATTTTCCACTAGCTCATTGAAGTCCTAATAAAAGGTCCACCCCTTTTGTTTCAGCGAAATTGAGCTCAGTCCTGTACTGAAGCCTTTCTCATTTTTCTCATCTACTGCGGTAGCCTAGATTAAATCTGTATTGACATTTTTAACGAGTGTTCTGTGCAATTTTTAATTTGACACCATACAGTCCAGGACAAAAGGTTGCTCCAGCCCTACTTCCCCTTTCATTTGGGAAAGCGCATGCAAGTTGACTGGAAGCAGCCCAAATATTGCCAGTTCATTTGCATTTAAATTGCCCAAATGGCATTTGGCAAGAGCTATTTGATGTCCAAGGAGGCTTTGGAGGCTTTTAAACTTCAAAACAGAAGGTCAGAATTGATCAGCAGGAAAAGAACCTCAGTGCTAAGTGGTGGGGTTGAGCTCTGCGTTTCCACATCTGGGAAGCTGGTTTCAGCTTGAAGTCTGGGGGGAGCAAATCACACGGGCTCACTCCAGGAAGAATGGCCAGAGCTGGACTCAGTGGGTAAGTCTTGGAGTTGTATTTTTTAGAATCCTATGGTGTCCTGTCCCTTTCCATGATTTGCTGGGAAAAGAGCAGGAAACAAAGGATCAAGCATGGATCCTTTAACTTTGTCTTTCCTAGAAAAGTACACATCTAAACCTCTTCATCTAGAGGAAGCTGAAGCACACTAGGTATTGACTGAAAAACTAGCATAATTAGTAGTCAAATATTTATTGTAAAAGATCAATAGTAAATATTCTTATCTCATAAGGTTGACACAGAATAATAACAGTAATAATAGTAATGTGATGATGATGATGATGATGATAATTGAGCACTTCCTATGTGCCAGGTACTTATCATTTTTAAAGACCACAGAGTCTAGGGCAAAGTGCTCCTTCATCAAAGCTTCCTTTTTTGCTTATAGAAACCTTATGTGTACATTTTTATTATTCCTATTTACAAACAAACAAACAAACTGAAGCACAGAAAGGTTAAATAACTTGTCGGCCGGTCGCAGTGGCTCACGCCTATAATCCCCACACTTTGGGAGGCCAAGGTGCGTGGATCATGAAGTCAGGAGATCAAGACCAGTCTGGCCAACATGGTGAAACTCCGTCTCTGCTAAAAATAGAAAAATTAGCTGGGCGTGGTGGCTCGCACCTGTAGTCCCAGCTACTCAGGATGCTGAGGCAGGAGAATCGCTTGAACTCGGGAGGCAGAGGTTGCAGTGCGCTGAGATTGTGCCACTGCACTCCTGCCTGGTGACAGAGCTGGATTCCCTCTCAAAAAAAAAAAAAAAAAAAAAAAAAAAAAAAAAAAAAAACCACTTGTCAAACGTCGCACAGCTTGCAATAACAGGAACATGATACCAACAGGCACATCTGTTCTGGAGAATTAATAGTTGATGTAAAATACTTAAGTTAGCTATTTATTCTATAAGAGGAACTCAAGAAATGGTGATGTTATTATCATAAAAATATAAATTCCAACTGAGCCCTTGTCAAGACTGACATTCCACACTAAACTTAGCCATGACTTTCAACTTCCTATCTAGAGTTTGGCCACATTAATTCTCCCGCTGTGGTTCTCTGCATAAATACCCCGACCCAATTCTAGATCTCAGTGAGACATTTGTTCTTGTCACATGTTTGATGCTGGATTTCCAGCTCCAATCATGACTTCTTTGCTGGCCAAACTATGCAGGAAAAGCAAGGGGAGTAAGGAGTCTGCAAAAGTTAGGGAAAATAGAAAATGAATAAAATGTCCCCTTTTGGTGCTTGACAGGTAAAATGGTATAGGCAAAAGCAATAGCACTGACAGGGTCTTGGGGACAGGATAGTGTAAAACAGAATGGAGGCACGACAATGCTATTCTAGTGAGGCTTGAATATAAAGAATTGGGACGATAGCGGTCAGTGAAAGATGATGCAGAAAATAGAATGTCGGAGACAAATGTTGTTAAATTCTTTGAACACTGTGCTAAAGACTGTAGAAAGATTGAAGTTTTGCTCTCCCAAACACAAGACATTACCAAGATCACCATCACTGATGGAGGGAGGGAGGCTTGAATACCCAGGTTTTAGTCTAACCTGCATGTCATTTAAACACCCTAAGCTTGTGTGATCTACAGTACATTTATTTGCCACCTGCTCAGTTCTGTGCATTTCTACTTTATCTTGTTTTGCTTATAGAATAAAGGTCCTAAAAACTGTCCTTAGAAATCATCTAGCTCAATTTCTTCACTTTACCAGTAAACACAATTTGGTTTAAAAACATAAAGTGAGGACTGAGTGTGGTGACTCATGCCTGTAATCCCAGCACTTTGGGAGGCAAAGCAGGTGGATCACGAGGTCAGGAGTTTGAGGCAACGTGACCAACATAGTGAAACCCTGTCTCTACTAAAAATACAAAAAATTAGCTGGAGGTGGTGGTAGGTGCCTGTAATCCCAGGTACTTGGGAGGCTGAGGCAGGAGAATTGCTTGAACCCGGGAGGTGGAGGTTGCAGTGAGCAGAGATTGTGCCACTGCACTCCAGCCGGGCGACAGTGTGAGACCCCAGCTAAAAAAAAAAAAAAAAAAAAAAAAAATTCTTTTAGGACATAGAATCAGTGGTCATCCTGCAATTATTTGCACTGTATTTTAGGAAAGTGCTTTATTTTTCTCAATAAAATACATGAATCACAAATGTTAAAAACTAATCTTGATTAATTTTTCCAAGAAGATTTCAAGAGGTATATGTAAACTGCATCTATACATCATTTTTTTCACTGATTCATTTAAAAGCCATAATGTGAGAAGAAATCTGGAAAGCAAACAAGCTAAAATAAAATAAATAACCCTTCTCAAGATCCTTCTGTACACTGAGTAGGGACACATTTCCTAGATATGCTGCAGTGATACTAGAAATGACATAGACAAATTCAAAAAAAGAAGAAGGATTGCTACAGATGCTGTAGTTAACTGCAACTAATACCACATATCCTTTGCTTAAGCATCTGGACCTCTGGTATCAGATCCTCCACAAACTTTCCACTATATGACATCGTTCTTGAGCAATGTGGGTCACAGGAAACAGAGGCATTAACTGGGTTCCACTCTTTTAAAGAGAATTCCAACAGTATTGAAAAAGAAACGGTGACTAGAAAGAAGCAGTGGTCATAACATGGGCTGTACAAATGAAGAGGAGTGTTGAATCCTCTTTAAATCCAACTCAGAGAGGGAAAAATACAATCTCTTTACACTTGGGTGTGTTATGCAAAGGATGGAGATGGTTTAGTTAGACAATAAATATAATAGTAATAATAATCATAATGAAAGCAGAGACTTTGCAAAGACGTAAGGAAATGAAGCAAGAAACTTTGTGGATTCACAAATAAAAATGCAAAGATGAAAATGATTATATAGGAAGCTGAGCCTGATGTATCACCTTATATATTTATTTATTCATATTAATTCATTTCTTATTCAAGAAAAAACAATTAGAGTTCTTACCTGTATCAACTGAATCCTGTGCATGTGTTACCTACCCTTAGAGAGAAAATCTTAAATCAGTACAAGGGCAAGCAGGCACTCATGTCAGAGTTTGAAGGAAGAAAAGCCTTAGAATAGTTTAGCCATACTAACGGAGTAACAGTGGGCAAAAGGCATATTATAATATTATAGGTTTTTTTTTTTTTTTCTAGGTGGACTTTCTTGTTCCCATTTTACAGAAAAAAAGAAAGAAAGAAAGAAAGAAGACTTTGAGGGAAGTTAAACAGTTTGCCCAGAGTCACATGGTTAGTATTCCATAGGAAGGATTTAAGGTTGAATCTGTCCAGAAAGCCCAAGTATATTACTGACATGTGGTTACCTCCCAACATTAAAACAACTGCATTTATTGAACTGCTTTATTGCCTATTTTTTATAGTTTCCCCTCTTCCTGAAATATATTTTCCATGCCTCATTGTAAATTCGCATTCTTTGAGACTTGGTTCAAAGTCCATCTTCTCTATAGAGCTTTACCTGAATCTTCTCAATGAATGTAAAAAAAGTAAAGGTTATTTTAAAAAGGTAGCCTCTTCTACCTTTCAGCCCTCATGAAATTTTATAACTACATTTCTTATAATTGTCTCACATTATACTCAGTACCACTGCTGATTATATAATTATTCTATAGTTAATACTTCTGTCTCTCATCTGAGATAGAAAACTCTCATCTTGCTTTGCAAATCTCAAGGTACACGGCAACTTATCAGGGCAGAGGTTAGGTAGTATTTGAGCAAGACCTTTGGGCTTGGTGTCAGAAGTACTGCAAGTTCCAGATTTCTCACTACCTTGCAGCGTGCACATCAGTGAATGTCTATGAGCCTCATTTTTCTAATCCCTACCAAAAAAAAGATAAATAAAAATGTCTTTCATCATTTGTGTGAGCATAAAGTTAGTTAAGTTGGTTAAAATATGTTTTTATCAAATATTTATCAAAATATATTTTATCCTGCACTCTTATGTGAAGGAGTGCACTATTGAAGGTAAATGTTTGGCTACTGCAAGAAAGAGACCCCACATACAAAGTTATCCAGAACATGAAAATTTATTTATCTCACATCTAGCATCATGAAGTAGCATTTCAGGTTGGGAAATGCTCTATTCATTAAAGTAATATAGGGGCCTGGGTTGCTTGAAACTTCTTGCTACTTCATTATTGCTGGCCTTGTTTATACCGATGGAGCTGGGTCACAGGCTCACCCATGTTCCAACCAGCAGGAGAGGAAAGATGTGCAGTTATGATAGATTAGTTTTATAAAAGTTCAGGGAGGCAGAAGTCACACACATAACTTCTGACTACAGTCAGTTGGAAATAGCTTAGTTTCCGTGGCCATTCCCAGTTGCAAGGCTCTAGTAAATGAAGGTTCTAGCTGAACAACCTCTATGGATTGAATGTCCTCTCCGAAATTCATGTTGAAATGTAATTGCCATGGTGATGATATTAAGAGGTGGAACCTTTGAGAAGTGAATAGGTCATGAAGGTTCTCCTCATGAATGGATTAGTGCTGTTATCATGAGAGTGAGTTAGTAATGACAGGAGTGGACCCCTGGCAGCTTCCACCCTTCCTCTTTCTGTCTTGTATTCTCACTTGCTGATATGGTGTGGCTCCGCGTCCCCACCCAAATCTCATGTTGAATTGTAATTCCCAATGTTGGGGGAGGGACCTGGTGGGAAGTGATTGAATCATGGGGGAAATCAAGATATCCCCCTTGCTGTTCTCCTGACAGTGACTGAGTTCTCATGAAATCCAGTTGTCTGAAAGTGTGTAGCACTTCTGCCTTCATGCTTTCTCTCTTTCTCTCCTGTCATGTGAAGATGTGCTTGCTTCCTCTTCACCTTCTACCATGATTGTAAGTTTCCAAAGCCTCCCTAGCCATGCCTCCTGTAAAGCCTGTGGAACTGCGAGTCAATTAAATTTCTTTTCTTTGTAAACTACCTGGTCTAAGGTAGTTCTTTACAGCAATGTGAGAACTAACTAATACACTTTCGCTTTC